AATTGCTTTTACAATACAACCACAATTGAACAAAATTAGCAAATCGCAGAGATGCTTATTTTTGGTCATATTATACCCAACAACAGTCATAACTTAACTTCTCACTCTTTAGGTGGCAGGAATTCACGAAAACTGGGTTTGCAGTTACACAAAAGGGAAGAAAGAATCGGAGCAAGCATGCAGATTCACGTGTGCGAGTACAAGTATGCACTTTTTTATACAAAAGTTACAGTAAAAGGGTTTATACAGGAATGAGTGACTCTAATTTAATGCTTTTAATGCTCTTAGCAATAATTTTAATGCCATCAAGTACTTATGACTCTCGTATATAACACGGCAAAATCCTTCTTCATCTTTACCGTCGACACGCTGCAGCCATGTCCTGAATTCCTCGTTTTCCGTTCTTTTTCCAGGTTTCAGGCTTTTTTTCTGACCTTTTGTTTTTCCTTTCCGCCCAATTTTTTGGCATTTTTTTTGCGGAATTTTTTTTTTTATTTTTTTTTTTTTTTAAAGCATTTCAAATGCCACAGTAATCATATTTAATGAATTCCAATGCCAATTCAGGCCTTTAATTTAAAAAATAATTTAATGACTTTTAATGATTTTTAATGACCTGAGGAAACCCTGAGTAAAGTCCTGCAACAATTTTGATTTTTTGCTAAATTGTCCAGCCCTTTGTGATGTTATGAAAAGGCTTGTTGAAATAGAATCATGACATGAATCTAACTTCAAAATCATGTAATAAATCATCGATTTATTACATGATTCTAAAATGAGGGCCAGGCTTCTTTTTTCAGGAAGGCTTTTTTGGAAATGGGACTATCCCTACCTTTGTGTTTTTGCAAAGTCAACCTCTCAAGGTACAGTCTAAGTTTATAGATAGAACTGATGTCAACTTAAAAGTGTGCTTGATAGTTAAAACAGACATACTGAAGTATGCCCTAAATATAATTTTCAGTGTTTCTTGAACTAAAAACAGTACATAGAAAACAAAAACACAGTAATCAAGTGTCAGTACTGCAACAAATTGTGCTATTACGGTCTTAACATCTCAACAAGCACAGAAATCTATATTGTCAGCTGGCAATATTAAATCTGTGGCTTATGAGCAATCTAAACTGGCAGACGTTTTACAGCATTAAGTCTGAACTCATTAATTAGGCGTCCATGCTTTTAATCGTTATTGATTTCATGCAGTGGCCTGAAAGATGGCTAAAATATATTTTTTTAATCAGTGTGGAGATAAAAGTTGCTTTGGGGAGATTTACAGCCTTTTCAACGATCAAAAAGTGACTAAATTTTAAAAGCAAAAGGTATGCACCTGCGGATAGAATCAATCACCCTGTGAAAACATTTTTGCATCCTTCCCGATTTCTTCTGCTTTCATCTTCATTTTTCCGCACACTTAAATCTTTCCAATCATCTTATAGTTTTCATATTAGATTAATATAATTAAATGTAAAAAGTAACACTGAAATTATGACTTCATTAAATAATAACCAATCCAACTAAAAAGATAACTTAAATTTGGCTACTGATCTTTGAAGAGTTGGTTTCATTAAGCCACACAAAGAGGATTTTTGGGGCATATTGACCAAAAAATAGAAAGAAAAAAAAAAAAAAATCATGCAAGAGAAGTTGAGTTCAATTAAGTCCAAATTTGGAAGAGGCTCTCCAAAATATTTTTTGGTTTTGTTTATTTTAGAATAACCAGGCTTGAAGATTAGTATGATGTTATTCAAAAATACATTTAGGTTTACAGACAATGTAGAAGAATTCATACTTTTTAAAAAGTCATGAATGAAAGAATATTTTCCTAGAATACATATTATTTTTGATTATCACCATCGTGATCATCATTAACAAAGATAAGAAATAAAAGAACATCCAGGACACTGAATCGTACACTGAAAAAAAAAATGAAATCCAAGTAAATTTTTCTTAAAATAAATGTATTATTTCCTGGAATCAAGCAAATAATTGAGACACTTCCCCAAATTAATGACAGTCTACATTCAAAATCTGCATTCTCTTATTTCAAGTACATCATCTTTTGATCAACAATCTTACTTAAAGGGCAAAAATACTAATTCATTTCATTTTATTTACCTAAGATTAAGGGCCAACACTTATTTTAAGAAATATTTACTCATTTTCAGATAGTTTTGCAAGGTAAAGACCAGGGCTAAGAAATCAATCAGGCCTGTTTATTGATAGAGAGATTAATCTCAGCTTTACAAGAATGTGGATGAACAGCTGATTCAAGCAGGGGGTACTTATTTTCGCTTTCATAGGAAGCCTTTTCACTCTCTATTTATAATAAACTTATCAGAAAGCTGAGTAACTACGTGTCTAGTAATACAATTTGTTGAAAAAAAAATGAAGAATCTTGTAAGGAAGGAGATATATTTAGGGCAACGTAAAGCTGGTAGCTTTTAATGTCACGCACTGAGGCTAAGGTTCTTTTCTGGAGGAAACTCTGACTGGAGCAACTAAAAGTCTAGAAATTTCTAAAGCCAGTTGTGTAACAATACGAAGAGGGGTTGAACTTAAAATGATCTGATTGATTTTTGTACCGCTACAGCCACTATTAGCATTCACTAACTGCTATTATTTTTTAACCTTCGATGAGATGCCAACGTCTTTTGACCACCAGAAACAACTTTTCTATTTTAGAAACTTAAAAAAACGCGAAAAATCACTTAAACACACATATTTGCGAATTTCATAAACACAACTTTGTATGTAGCAAAGTTTTGTCTGACAAAGCATTTTCGTGGAGTTGTCCAAATGTCATCAAACCAAGGTTGCTAGCCAAACACCGTTAGTTAGCCAAGATCGATATCTCAATTTATTTACAACATTATTCCGCTTTATAACCACATTAACCGCGTATACAATTATAGCGATTAATACCTACACTACAGGAAAAATAGATGATTTTTTTTCTCGATAACTTGTGAGTTCAAAGTGTTCAAATGCATGCTAGTTTGTTAGCATTGCGCAAGCTGTGTCAACTACATATTTTACATCAGGCATAGATGTGCTAGGAACTCTTTAGCTAACGGCTAGGCTAAAGTGTCAGCTAGCCATGCTAATGTCGACAGTTTACATCACGTACCAACTGTACCACAGGGATAACGTGTTTAATCCTATGGAAATCAACAATATGACATACCATTGACAAAGTTTACAGGGTGCAATGAACTGACAAAAAATATATACATTTACCTTTCTCAAACGTGACTCCTATCCCTAAGCTCAGGATGGTGAGCAATTCTTCCTATCTCCTCCCAACAGGGGGATGCCAAACGACGTCACCAATCGGCCATTTGTGATGAATTATGGGAAACTAAACATTTAAATGGAACATAAAAGTATTCGTAAAAAGCAGGATACAATAAGCCATACAACCCTTCTGACATATATGACAAAACTAAATACACAACTAAACTCTATAAAAAAAAAACAAAAAAAACGATTTGACTAAATCAGGACATCTTTACTGTTATTTTTTCTTACTTGCCCCAATTTAAAACCAGATGGCAGTAGTACTTCACTGTCAGATAGTCAGCATTTAGACTATGGCTACTAACTATAAGGAAACACAACATACTTAATCTTTATATGTTCAATTCAGTACAGTTTATTTATTAGTACTATATTTATTATAGCGCCAATCCACAGCACATTTCATCTCAAGGCACTTTACAGTCAAATTAAGTCAAAGTTTTCAATCTAAGGAAAACCAGTTGATTGCATGACTCATTGACTCTGATGCAATCCCTCACACTAAGCATGCTTGTAGCGACAGTGGAGAGGAAAAACTCCCTTGTATGTATATTGTTTCTGCAACGTTTCTATAACGCCCCCCTCAAGTGATTCAGACACCTCCCCTCTGTAATTGACATCTATGCACTATTTTTGTATGCCACGTATCACTTTACTTGGATTTAGCTTTACATACATTGCATATATACGCATACATATATATATAGAAGAGCTATATGTGTATATATTTTTATCTTGTGTAGTTGGATGTGTGTGTGTGTATATATATATATATATATATATATATATATATATACATAAAACTGTAACTTGAGCATGTAACAAAAGTAATTTCCCTCTGGGATTATTAAAATATTTCTGATTGTGATTTCTATTATTGTAATTCATCGTTATTAGTGTTTAGTTATGCTAGTCATTTCAACTGATTGCAAAATGAATCATGTACATTTTCTTTATATTTAATGGTACATCAGTGCCATTCCCAAAAACTTTCCATCCTATTTTTTTTTTTTTTTTTTTTTATATTCAGCATGCTTTTTCGGACATGCCAAATGCCTGTCAACCCCCCCACTAAAAAAAATATTTGCTTAAATTATTATTTTTTTTTAACAGCAACCTCAAACCAAAACTCAACATATTTGAAAAAATATATGTATTNATGGTACATCAGTGCCATTCCCAAAAACTTTCCATTTTTTTTTTTTTTTTTTTTTTTTTTACATTCAGCATGCTTTTTCTTACATGCCAAATGCCTTTTGCCCCCCCCACTAAAAAAAATATTTGCTTAAATTATTATTTTTTTTTAACAGCAACCTCAAACCAAAACTCAACATATTTGAAAAAATATATGTATTCCATTTGGACAAAGTGAATGGCAGAAAAACATATACAGTAAAAATGGAAATATTCACACATGCACACAAAAGTTTGTATACATATCAATACTTGTACATGTTCCTGCCTCATCTAATGATAAAGATAATTTTTACATATTACAGCTGGAAATAGGCACCAGCATCCCTCGCAACCCCACTTGGGATAAGCATGACAGAAAATGGATGGATGGACTTTTACATAATTCATATTTATCCAAATAAAAGAAAAATACCCCAATGCATTTTCTGATTATTCAATTAAAATATAAAATGAAGAAAAAGAGACATTTTTTAAACACTTTTATATATATATAAAAACATTAAAATACACATTCTTTAAATAAAATATACATTTAAAACATCTACAATAATCATGACAATTGGATCACAAAATTGTTTGAAATTAATATCATAGCCTCTTTAATGTAAATACACTATTTTTCTATACACAAATGTTCAAATCATTACAGTTAATTTCAAATACTGGACTTTTTTTAGTGTTCCACTTCAGCAAAATAGATTAATTTTGTGTAGAGAAGGAATGTTAGTTCAGGAAATGCTGAAAGAACTCCTGGGTTTTCGTCTTTTCTGCTAAGTCCTGCTTCTTAGGCGACTTCAGGAGCAAGGAGGCGAAAATGGTGACTGTGCAGAAAGAGAATTCATTATTCAAAATGCATAAAATTATTCCTGCTAAACATTAAAGATGTTTTTGCAGTCTCAGTATGTTTTAAAATGAAATTGACTTTTTATTAAAAGCAAAGATTGTTATGAACAGAATCCTAGACCAAATTTGGTTTCATGGTTTGGTAGTCTTCCCTTTGAATGAGATATATTCGACAACATGGTAAGGCAAGAATTAAGCTATTATTAGTTATTTTACTTACCCAAAATAGAAACATCTAATCCATTGCTTGCAGAATTTTTCAGGAGCTCACGAAGGAAGGCAGCTAAATAGCTGAACACATTTTTATGGCACTGAGGTAGCATGGAAACAATCTGAATAGGAAGGAAAAACAATTAAAAGAAAATATTGACAGATCATAGAACAGATTGCTATGTTTTTGCTTACTTTCTCACACTGGGCCCCACTAGAGCAGCATTCAAGGCACTGTTGATAAAAAGAGAAGGGAATCACAGGCTCTGGTAGGGCATCTAAGAAGAGAAGAAGGGCTTCTGCCACTGAATGGTTGCTACCCGCTGCAGGACACCAGAGTCAAGGAAGCTTTTTTGTTGCATTATTATACTGTAAACTTATATAATTAAACTTATATAATATATTATTATACTGTAAACTTGTTATAGCAGAACAATTCTGAGCAGCAGTGATGACATGTGATGACAGTGAGCTCCATGCAACCAAAATAGATTAAAACTGTTTTAAAATGTTAGCCTATGATTAAGCCAAATAAAGATAGTTTAAATTTATAGACTACACCACAGCCTCCTCAAATCTATCAGGATTTTGTTTTTGTTTTTTATTTTTTTAAGGATACGAAGCGAGTCTGGCATCCCTGAATCCAGACAATCTCTTATTTCCTCAAATTCCGTTCGAAGTCCAGGTTGCTGAAATAAATCTTCCTGTAAATGGAAACACAAATATTTATTTACTAAAGTATATACATATAAATCATGCAATGCTGAATCAGGGTCCACTGTGTTGGTCAAGTTTGTGCGCACAGCAGCAAATTTCAAATTTTACTTTGGTTTCCATTTCCACCGGTAGTAGAATGTAAATAAAAAAAATAAAAAAAACATACATGCAAAAAATATCTTAACTGCATTGCTGAACTAATGCACTTCATTACCGGAACAAAGAACTCCTGAAGCAAAGACACAGAGACGGGCTATAGGCCGTTTATAGGCCTGAACAGATAAAAAGTGTTTCATGTAAACATAAACTGAGGATTCTAATCCAATCAGAAAGAAATTTCATTTTGTAGGAGAGAAGTGGTTTTGCTGATAACCATTCCCACTGGCCTCCATTTAAACACCCATTTGGATCTTTGGAGTAAAATAACCTCCCCTGCCCATGTGGACCATCCACGCATGCTTAAATGATTAATCTGATCGAATGCTTGGTACGCGTTTACATACGTCACGATCGGATCTTATAATTTAGTGTCCATGTAAACAGATATTTTGAATTTCTAATCAACCAAATCCCACCTGATTGACAGCATTGCGGAATAAATGATCCACCATCATCCAAAGTTCTTTCGGAATGTCAAGAGGCTTCTCAGCGGTGGATGAATCATCATCTGGAGACATTTCAGCCTGATAGTCAAAAAAAAAAAAAAGATGTATATTTGTTTAATGCTTAAAAAAGAAGATTGCAACAAATGAGAAAGTATTTGAAGAGGGTGCTAACCAGCTTAAGAAGGGTCTGTATGGGCATGTCTTGAACAGGTTCCCTCATGTGACATAGCGAATAGATCGAAGTACCGAAGCAGCTTGGCAAATAGTTTCCAGTAACGGAGATGAAATAGTCTTTGCCTCGCTCTAGGTGTAGTACCAGAATATCTTCAATCTCCTGCTTACCACAGTTTAGATCTGGTGCTGTGGAGCGATTTACAAAAACCTCCAGCTCAATGACCATGGAACCACCTTAAAAAAAAAAAACAAGTTTAAGAGTTTAGCAACACTGGTCATAATGTAAAAGGGATGATGTAACGGTTATAACTACTGGGATGAAATGATCTTTCCAACGTTCATGTGTCTCACCCTGAGGAATGAAGCCTTTGGACGGGTTGGCTGTGAGCCAGGGCTTAGAGTATGTGGACTCATTCGGCTTCTGGATAAACTCAAACTGACACGGGACCTGCCCATCATTGAAAAGACTCAAGGCCTCTGCCTGGTGTTGCATGTACTTCACATCCTTAAAGTGGAACTGAATGGGGGGAAAAAACACACAAACAAAAAATAAAATATTAAATCCTTAGCTAGTTTCTACAAGGTATGGTCAAACAACACTATGAAGGAATATCTAATTTAAGAGCTGTATAAATATGAACAGCCATACCTCTCTCTTGGACAAGCTTAAAGATGGAATACATTCATTCTCCATTTTGTCTATATTGCGTACTATCTCTTCAAAAGTCTTCTTGTAGGCTTCACTATTTACTCTCTTGATCTGTAGATACAAGACAAAGCGAATTACAGGCAAAACAATCAAACCAGGGATAGAGGTTTTAAATTGCAAATTTCATTTTATCAAAAAAAAAGAAAAAGAAAAAGAAACCGCAGTACATCTTAGTGTTTTTTTCAACCTATGTGTACTTTGAAAAGCCAAGTTTCTTATATGGATCTTTCTATAATGAAATTATAATTGTTGCAACTGCATTACAACATAGCGTAGATAATTGAGAAAACAAATCTTGTTTAAACAAAACGCTTTTGCTGCCAAATAAATGGTCTTTTTTAAACATTTTTAATAGAAATATCTGAGGCACGTGCGGCTCACTTTATATCCAACACAAAAGGACTGAACTCCCACCACACTGTTGTCAATCAGAGTCAGAATAATGGTTTTAGAAATGACTGGACTGCTGCTGGAACTGGACAATTTTTTTTTATTTTCTAAGGCTTTATTAGTGTGAACAGCAGGATAATCAGAAAGCTTTTTTCTCCTCTTTCCGATTTCTCCGCTTAGGAAACAAGGATGAAAATATCCAAACCTATATCAATGAATGTGACTAAAAGTAAAGCTCTAGAAATGAATACATACAGTATGCTCTTTGGAGATACTGCACTGACAGAGAAATGGGGGATAGTGTAGTTTTACATAAGTACAGATTTTGACCAATCTACCATTCATGTTAATTATTAAGGTGAACCTAGAAAATGAATGAAACATGAAGGTAGCTGAAGGCTGAAGCATTTACCCCGATGATGAACAAGGAGCTGACAGGCTTGTGGTCACTGGTCCTTACTGCCATATGGCTCTGGTAATGTTCCTGCTGGATGTTCTTCCCTTTCCACAAGATACGGTCACACCATGCAGGGATGCGACATTTTTCACTGAACACAGAGAAATACATTAAATCCAAGTATTATTTGGAATAAAAACAAACAAAGCAGGAATTCAGTTTTAGAACTCATTTGTAAAAAACATAATCCAGCAATGAATGACTGAAGGAATTTGTGAACAGAAACCAAAATTACCATTTAACATGATGTTAAAGCAACTTCAAGGCATATTCCCCAGAGAAAGAGCAACATGGATCCCTTTAAAGCATCCAAAGCCCTAAAGTAACAACACTGTGTACATTTAACAAGCTTCTTGTGGATCGTTTTTTTAATAATATTCCAATAAAACTGAGGGGAGATCCTGAGTAAGCAAAGAGGACTCAGAATGCCTCTGATGAATAAATAATTCAGAAGATTGAAATAATCTCATCCAAGGGAGGCATGTTTCAGGATAAACTGAAATGTTCTTTGTGTTTTACTAAAGTCTCTGCAAGTCCTTAAAGTTTGACACTATGCTCTGCAAACCAACACTCTTAAGAGAGAGAAAATAAATGCTTCTATAAGTAATTAGAAATACCTTGTATCCCATTTATCAGAGCCCGTGTCATATTTGTAGGTGGGCTGGAAATCAATTTCTCCTTCCTCAAACCCAACAAACACGGCTTCCTCATCGATCTGCCTCTTAAGCTGAGGATCATATGGAGGAGATAAATGTCACTGCTCAGAAACACACATTTCAAGTTGCATCCCATTTAGAAAAAAGACTTATCATAATGATGATAATCACCTGGTCGTATGAGTGAAGCGTCTCAAAATCATTCTTGGTGATCAGATCTTTCACTTTGTCCACGTCCAGATCACTGATTCTGTAGTTGAGGTCACCGATCCATAAAACAACACTGATAAAGGAAGAAGTCACAAACATAACTTATTTACACTCACAATACAATACACCTTTTTTTAACAGTGATCGGTTTGATGCACATAAATAACTAAATGACCTACAAAAAATTTTAAATCTACATTTGTCTTAATGGAAGCATAACAACAGAGTATGTCTAAGGAGTCACACACTCGTGCTTCATGATAGTGAGCGGCGGCTGCGTAGGATCGAGCTGCCGAAACTGGAGACGACTGCAAATGTCCTTGAAGTCCTGATTACGCCTCTCGTATTCTTCAACGTGTGCAGCAAGGTGGGAGTTGACAACGCAGATGTCAGAGTTGTGGAAGCGAAAACGGATTGCCACCGCCCCTTTATTTCCCTGCAAAGAACAAAAGGCACGTTTATTTATGTAACACATTTCAGTGCAAAGACAATTCAAAGTGCTTTACACAGCAGAGCCATCAAAAAAAAAAAAAATGTCCGAATGGCTTTCAGCTTTTGAATGAAAAAAAAATAAAAAATGAAAACACGTTCAGTCCACTAAGATTAAGCAGCACTTTTGAAAAAAGTCAGGAAAAAACATTATCTAAAATTTGCTTATGTGGACTGGATCTCAAAAACCTGGACTGGAGCATTTCTAGTAAGAATGACCAAATATAAGACAGGAAAACAAACACCTGATTGGGGCAGCTAGTTTTAACCTAGAAAAAAATAAATTAGCAAAAAGTTTTAACAGTGTAAAAGAGCAAGAGGAAGCTGGTTTTAATGACCAAACTGTTTTACTCAATTTGAATTACCTGCAATATAGACCATGATATTACAAGCCTTTTAAACGAACAGGGCAATGCAAAGCTCTTCCTTACCATCCTTCCCATTATGCCTGTGCCCACATAATCCGTCTCCACATCAGAGATGAACTCTGCGTGCTCCTTCTTCACATAGAAGATCAGCATGATGCCAACGAGACGAACCAACTTCACCTGAAGCAGAGGGACATGTTGACCAAATACAGATGAGCAGAGAAAAACTTAAAATTACTAACACATTTAGTCTTATCAGCATCTCATTTCAAGAAAATGATGGGCAGAATAGAACATTAAACACGAAGCAGTGAGAATAAAAAGAAACAGAAGCACATAGCCTAATAGTTGTCTAAATAAGCCCAACATAAATCGGCAACAACAAATAGATGTGTTTTCTAGTTGACTGTGTGTCAGCAGCAGATAAGACAAGTGTGGAAGGAGAAATGACACCTCATTATGATGTCTCCTTAGCTCTAAAGCACGTCCTGTAAATTGTGAAGATGAATAAAGAAGCGCCGCAAACAAATGAGGAAGCTAACGAGACAGAGTCAGCACTCTGAGAAAGAGGAAACGGGCAAAGAGAATAACGAAAATATCTAAACTTATGTCTCAGCTCTGCCAACTCCACATCCCCACACACAATTGTCAGAACCAAAACTGGCTCTGACATTCAAACAGCTAAACCTTCTCAGTAGATAAAGACAGCTCATTATTCATGGCATTAAAAGAGAAACCTACTCACCAAGGCGTACTGGGCTTCTGCATGCAAAGCGTCAGACACAGCCTTTGTCCACTCCAGCTCTTTGGGGGTGTCATTAAAGAAAAAGGCCTCTTTACTGAGATCCAGTTCCTGGAAACTACAGAACAGAAACTACAGGGTTAATAAAAAGAAAAATGATGTTCTGTTCAAGAAAAGTTATCACACCTTCACAACAGAGCAGATAAACAGATTGTGGGCAAGAATCAGTAGGAACAAATGTCAGCATGTGTGAGAGTGGGGTCTTTTCTTAAACAGGCTCAATAGTATCTGTCAAAGGATTAGCCAGGTAACATCTGTCTTCATAATGGGATTAACACAGATCCTATTGAGCAGCATGAAAGACCTACCCCAAACAGTAAATGTCAGGAGGTTTGAGAGTGCAGCTCAGCCATGGACGGAGGCTTTCCTTCGGCGTCTGTCCGTTCACATTGTAGGTGCCGAGAAAAAAGCTGAAACCAAACAGGAAAACAGGGCAGAATAAGAACTACTATCCAGTCTGATCCACCTGATGAATAGTTTAAATATCTAACATAAAAAAGATTTGTCGTTGGAGCCAAGTTTGGGAACCAAAATGGTGAAATAATAACCATTAAATTAGTTTCTATTAACCAGAATGTTTGCAGTGCAGAGGGAAACAATGGGAAAACTTTCCTCCTAGTTCTATGAAGCAATAGGATGCATGAAAGGAACATCTTAATGTATAAAAATGTATAAAAATTTTTTTTCTGATGTCACTATTAACAGCTCCTTTTATAAACCACATACAAGCTAATATTATCAGATGTTTAAAAAAGCAGGTTTTGGAACAACCCTGCGACAACTTTAGAGTGTTTTTCAGGTCAGCGTACATGTTCTTCAACATCCGACACAGCAAAAGTGTTAAACCTCAAAATAAAAACATATCTGTGCAACCTGAAACTTCAAAATAGAAGAAAAACAGAAACCCCTCACACTGGACGAGCTGTCAGGTTATACATTGAGGAAACAACACCATCTACTGACATCCCCACTGGGTTTTGAGATTGCCCATGAAGGACACTTCCATTGTGACACACGGAGAACCGCTCTTTCCATTTAGATCCCCTCAGAGATTTGCTCTACAGGTCAGGGAAAAAAAAAAGGTTTCCTTCCATTCAATAATCCCGTTTGACCTTCACACAGTAATTGTTTTCATCAGCATTTTGTTTAGAATGGAACATAGACCCTGTTTAGTGCCATTCCAACCCTCTGTATCCTGAACTTACAAAGATAACTTTATGTTTTTACTAAAATGAGTTTCTGCCAGGTGGGTTTTTTCAGCACATATACTGCAGACCTGCTGAAAGTAAAATTACATAATAGTTGCTCCCCAGGATTAGACTTCAAGAGTTAAATACTTAATCTACTAAAAACAGGAACTGTTCACACTAATTAGCATGTTTACTAAATTTAAATCACACAATGTCATACATTTAGATATCTAAATGCTTATCTTTTTTGGTAGAATGAGCTTTTAAAGTGTATTGAAATTAATTTAGAGCTGATTTTCAAAATGCTGATATCTTTCGTTAACTTTTCTGACTATTATTAAACTGTCCTGAACAAGACAGCTTTCAATCCATACAGCATAAATAACGGACAGAGATGTAAACGTTTCAGAGCTAAAATCCATCAGATATAAAGGCGATTCGTTATACACCAGGATATCAATAAAAAGTTGATTTTATTCAGAAACTAATAAATGAAATTAAACATATCTGTCGGCCACAGAGTGATATATTTCAAGCATTCATTTCTGTTTGGTTTCTCTTTAGTTAATAGCTAGAATCCAATTATCCCCCATTTTTTTCCTAAAGACAAACTTGAATATTTTGTATGAGAAAAGTGAGAAAAAGATGTTCATCTAAAAAAAGGAAGCTAACTGAAACCTCTTTCGATGTGCTGTACTATACATACAGTATATGGGGGTAATTTTCTATTATTTACTGCATTAATGAGGCCAGTCATGTAGACCCTCAGTCTGTGGTTCTGCTAAGATGTTAAGGAGACCCCTATAAAAACGGCTGTCAGCTCGACCCCATCAGACTTTATATCAGGCCAGTTTGCTTTCCATCCAGTGTGAAACTAGCTTTATTTTTATTTCTAGAGTGTTGGCAGTAGCCAAATTCAAAGGGCAAATTGAAGTAGGCATAAACTTTGACAGCAGAAAATAATGCAAAGTGCTCCAAGATTTGCTGGTAAATTGCTGCACTAATTGAACAGATGACCAGGCTGGCCAATCATCACTGATTTTGTAGCCCTTCAGCTGCCATTCCTGTCCTAATGCAACTTTTTCTAACACCCTTGTTCCACAGTATCCAGGAGTCCAAACAGCCGGAAAAAGCGTTTCACTTTTGTGACTTTTCCTCCTTCACAGTCTCGACTGTGTTCTGGACGACTGCCAGGTCAGCAGTCTTCCCCATGATTGTGGAGACCACAATAAGACCAAAACATAACACTTCTGCATAAAAAAAAAAAAAAAACAACAACAAACAAACCTTTTCCGTTTCTCTTCTCTATTAGTTCAGTTTTCTTAGGCTTTTCTAAGATTTTTCTACTGTCAATATTAAGAGAACAAAATATATAAATAAAGGTGCTCTGGATATATTGAGGATGAGTTTCAATATTTAATTTTAGAAAAACTTTTTTTGGTGATGTTTAAGTTGATATAGATAGCCTTACCTGGCCATTTATAATAGTCCTATTTATTATATAATTCACTTCAAATTGTCCTAAAGCTGTCAACAGGCTCATTGTCAGTGTTCCACATTGTACAGTTACACAGTCCTACCATTAGGTGGCAGAATGGCTAGATTATAAATCTATGTGCAGAGTTTTAAAAAATAATTATTATGCACAGGAAAGAAGTTCCTAATTCTTTTTATTGAAGCAGAGCCGGTGCTGCACACTGAGCAATGGAACAGCAACACAACAGCTAGGATGTTGTATGAAAGCCTTGTTCTACTTGGTACCCAGCTTTAAAAACCCACTGATGCTGACTCATTCTTTTATAACTCTTCTATATGTTGAAGCGACACACTACACAAGCTGGGCTTGTTTTCGATTTCACTGAAGTGTAAAAATATCCTAATTCACCACATCGACTTGAGCCTAAAGGGTGGTTCACACGCAGCAAGATTTCAAAATTGGCAGGGAATTTTATAAACTTAGAAACACAGCAAAACGCTAAAAAAAAAAATTAATACAATAAACGATGAATACAGCAGTTTTGATGTTCTCTCCAGCTATGCTAAAGTGAATCCCCTTATACACAAGGTGACATCACTTCGAACATTTAGCAGTCAGATGGGGGAAAAAAAAATAATCGCCTAGCCTCTACAGATGCATACATTTCTCAGTGGAATTTTATGTATGTACAAATAAATGGTTAAAACAGTTATGACCTGAATTAAATATGATTTACTATTTATTAACTCTACAAATTAATAATCAAGTTTTATCAGATATGAGTTTTCTTTAAAGCATGCAATCAGGCAGCCTTCGCTGATTTGAATACACATTGGTAGTTTAGCTCAGGTGAAAAGCTCACGCAATGTTCCTGATGCCCCCACTGATAACTGATCATTTGTTTATCATCCTGGCATTAAGCACAGCTAGCAATAGAGACTTTTCATCTTATGGGTTTGCCATTGAGAAAAGGAGAAAGCATCTCAACACCGCTGGTGGCTGAGGACACTATTCTTGTTCTGCACAGCAAACCTAAGATCAGGCCTACATGTCAGTGAGTAAACAACATAGTTGGAAAACATTATTTTGAGCTCTGATGTATTTTTGCAGCATGCATTAAATGCTCCTGAAATAGTTTGGTCTTTGGTTAATTCAATGTAAAATCAAACAGTTGTTTCAAAAGAGGCTTGTTTTGATTGATGTGTAGCGTGTATGCCAGTGGGAGTGTGTATTTGCCTTTGTGAGAGAAAAAAAGGCCCTTGGGCATTCAGCTCGTTTACCACCGGTCATCTGGGAGCGTTGTGCGCATGTGAGCATCATGCAAAGAGACTGGGCCTCTGTTGTTAAGACAGTACTCCCCCACAGCCTAAAAAAATAAGCTTTTTTTTTTTAACTAAAAAGCTTCATAAAAGTGGTGGGCTGTGTGTGTACAATCTGATCACAGGTCTAGTTGTGTTGTATTATGCACAGATCCAGGTGGGGTTTTAAATAAGGATAGTCATCCGTAAAATGGCTCGTTTCTCGGCTCTGAGTTTTACATGTGCAGGTTTTTACAGGTTTGAAAAATCGGACCCATGAACGGTTCTGGTGCAGATAAAAACAGAGCTGCTCATTGCAACCCTCATAATGAAGAGAGAATATTCTAGGATGTTTATGGAACGTTACTTGCTCTGGGGTTCGACACACACCCCACCCCACAACAGGATATCAAGCCAAAATAATCCAACATGTCCTTACGGAATTGAAGCAGACCAGATCTTTCTTGACACAGGACATTATCTCCCAGACAATAAGGCCCTCAAAACGATTATTTTTAAGTTAGAAAATAAATGTAGATATATAGGACTTAGGAAATCAAATAAATGTTTGAATTTATCTAAGTAATACATTTCATAATCCTTTTGACTGGGGAAAAAATGGTAGGATATGATTAAAATCAGTAAATATCATACCTGAAATTCTCCAGATAAGTGTACAGGTCTTCATTTTTCAGCAGCTCACACTTGATAAGATTGTCGCGCAGCCCGAACTGCGGCATGGCCAGAATCTGAGCTTTGTTTGATGTAGTATGGCTGGACGAGCGAACCAGGTCATCCCGTTCCTCTCGACTCTGGCTGCATCACACAATGTACAAGCAAACAGTTAGAGACAAGACAGAAGTGTTTCTTACACTGATTAATGGTTATTCTGTATAGAAAAGGCTCAATTGCATTTAAAGGGTTTCTATTCTTAGTAACCACATCCCATTGTCTGGCTTCAAAACCATTTAGTTGTTCTAAATATGCAGTGATTACATAATATTAAATTAGGCTGATGGGAGGAAATGAAATGCAATGCAGGGCTATGTAGTCTTCCAGGAATTTACTGTTAACAAACACTACCTTTCATGCTCCAATATAAAACTCCCAGCTTTGGCAGCAAAGAACAAAGCATTATTCTAAACTCCGATATGCGTTCTATTAAAGAGCACAAAAAATATTGTTTAACAGGAGCTGACAAACTTATAAGCAATAAAAAATAAACAAAAACTCAAAGCTAAACTAGATTAAGTAAAGCTGCAGACAAAGGGCTGCTGAGGAGCTCTACAGTCATGGCTTCCCTTTGATCAATTTAATGCAGCACTGTGAGGATGAACTGTTTGGGCTTTAAATAAAGGACAGCGGCACACCTGTGCAGCAGTTCAGAAAAGGTTCCTCCTGTTGTTTAAAACATGTCACACAGCACAAACTACTTTACTGTTTTCCCTATTCTGTTTTTACAGCCAGATTGCGATCCACATTATTATGTTTTCAGGATTAGCTTAGATTAAGGAAACCAGAAAATTAGGTAGAATTAAGTAACATAAGTCATGTCTTCCTTCTTAAATTGAATGACTTAATTAAACAATCCTAGTATTATTCTAATTACTGAAATATATTTATTGTTTAGTTTATTACAGGAGGGACATTTCATAAAACTTTAACCAGGATTTTATAATAAACTAATAGTAGAAGATAGTGAAAAAACAAAAAAAAAAAAAATCTTACTTCTCTTGGCTGGAATTCCCTTTGGGCTTTGGTGTGACACTGTTAGAAGTCTTCACCTTTTCTAAAGATCCCTTTTTGTCCGACACTTTCTCTGTGAGTCAAGAAGAGAAAAGACAAAATTAAATGTTAGTATTTTCACCTGCTACTGTTTGGAAAAATTGTGTTTCAGCTGCAAGATCTCAAAAATAAAACGACTGAGATTGTAATCCTGAAAATAATCATGTGAATCTTTACATCATTAATTCTAGGCTTAGCTGATGGCCCAGACTATGTTTTGCAGTCAGTTACGGTTACTGCATCCTAAGTAGCTGGATTTAATGGCTGAGTGTGAAGTATGAGACAGCATGGGCCCTGTCTCCTGCAGCTTGGCACAGAAGACAGAGAGGGAAAGCCAAGCACTTTGAGGAGGAAATTAAACTAAATGTCATCAGCAGGATACATCAGGAATGCATTATACCAGCAGCAACACATAATATACCTGAAGGACAAAAAAAAGTGATTTGTGTTCAAAAAATAAAGAGTAAAAACTCTAGAAACAAATGTGCAAATAGATGAATGGTTATCCATTTTTAATCTAATTAAAAATATCTGATGAGTAAAATCTCAACTATGCTCATATGAAATGTTTATTCTGAGAATGGCATTTATTCATATTGTTGAGATAAAGGATAATATAGCTGGAAGTAGCTTCTTCTAACAGCATTAGCTGGCAGTGGGGCATCAAGTTCTTATTGACTCCAAATTGCACAGATTTGATCACCTAATAAATGAAGAAAAAAAAAAGAAATTATCAAATCCTGGTTTAATTTTTTACAGTTACTTTGTAGTTTATAAAGAAAATGGGCTAATTGCAATAATTTTATTAGGCAATTATGTTGTAACATATGGAATAAATGTCTCACCAATATCTGCATTTTCAGTGCAGACGTGTCTAACAAAAAAACTCAAGAGCCACAAACACTATGAAAAAACAACAAAAAACAAAAATACTACAACACCTTGAGACATTCTAAAATATTCGTTTATACACCTTTATTAGCAGTATCATTAATAATAACAAGCAAAAAATAATAATTCAGGATGAATATTTTCACTAAGTATTTTTTGTAATTGTAGGCCTGCAAATCAATTGTATGAATCCCTGAAAATGGGAGTAATGGATGTGCTCCACCAGTTGCTGTGCACTGTGGCTCAGCAGGCTACAACAATGCCACTAAACTTCTTCTTTAATTGTAACAGGGATGATCATATAGGTACAAAAATATTTCTAGTCATGAAAAACCATGACTCATTGGATAGAAGCAAAAGGATCATATATTACCACTGTAATAGTATCATTATTAGAGCGTGTTAGCTGACCCCACACTAACTGAACGGATATCCCGACTAACTTCAACAGTTTTTAAAGTCACAGTTAGATATAATTTAGTTGAGAGCCTTATCCGTCACTTAGTGAGCTTTTAGTAATAACCAAATTCATTTTTTTAAATAGTGATGAGAATAAGTAGCTCTCCAAAATAAGTTAGCTGACAGGCAGTGTGCAGCAAGAGGATGTGAAGGGACACTACTTTATTACCAATGAGCCCAAATGAATTAAATAACTTTAATAATAACATAAAAGTATAGCTTTAATTATTGCTACTTGAAATGTAACCTGTGGCTGCTCTATACTAGCTAATATGCAGCTTTAATAACAGCTACTAAATGAATCACAAGGAATACACAACAGCTTTGTTGCCTGGCAAGAATAAAAATGAAACAAACGCTTATAAATTTTGTCACAACTGTAAGTAAGGCTTAACAGTTTTACATGTCCAATGAGGAGTTTATGATCGCAATAATCCGTTATATCAACAGCTTTCTGCATGTTAAAGTTATACTGCTCCGCAACAATCCCAGCTGATAAAGATTATTTTACAATCTCATAAAATCTTTGGCAGTTCGGGAGGGGGGATGTCTAAAGATGATGAGCGATGTTTGATATTTGAAAGAAAGTGCAAATTTACAGTTTTATCATGTAACCTTATCAGCGGTTCGATCTTTAGTCAGCAGAAATGTCAGGCCGTTTGATCAGCTCTACAGAAGAGGATTAGGGCCACTGAAAAAATAAAAAAAGTTACCTGATTCTTAAATTCTATTTCAGTATAATATGGCAAAAAAAAAAAATCAGAATTCTGACATTAATCTCAGAATTCTTAATCTCAGAGTTCCGACTTTAGTCTAGGCCCCAGGCCCTAGAACTGGCTGGCCAATAACAACGCAGAGATATGTTTTAAATTTCTGGATGCAAAGTGGGCGGGATTTTGAGGGCGAGACCACAAAGCTGCGCGATGCTGGAGAAAGCACAAGGAAGATGACAACAACTATTGAACAGTTCTCATTTGACTCAGCTTTGAAATCAGTTTTCGAAGGATAAGACTTTATTTTCGTTTTTGTTGAAACGTGAGCAGGAAGAGGCTCTACGCACATTCATTTTTAAGAAGGATGTAATACGCCGTTTTACCGACAGGCTGTTTGTTGACACTCCCCCACCAGCTTTCTGTTGTGCTTTCTATGTCACAGTCCGTTGCGCTCATTGGTCAGAGCGTTGGCCAATAGGCACAGACATGGTTTGAAAAAGAAAGTATTGTTCTCATCAACAATCTTCCGATGTCTCATTAATCAGGGCCAGTCTAAATTACACATTTAATCTCACATTTAGTCTGATTTAATCAGGCTAGAGTGCTCCCACATCTCTTCCTTTAGTAAGATCCAAAATTCTGAGATTAAAGTCAGAATTCTGAGACAAAAGACAGAACTCTCAGATTAATGTCAGAATTCTGAGATTAAGAATTCTAAAATTAAAGACAGAATTCTGAGATTAATTTCAGAATTCTGAGACTAAAGTCAGAAATCTGAGACTAAAGTCAGAATTCTGAGATAAATGTCAGAATTCTGTCTTTTGACTCAGAATTCTGAGATCAAGAATTCTAAGATTAAAGTCCGAATTATGAGATTAAAGTCAGAATTATGATTAAAAAAAGTCAGAATTGTGAGATTAGGGTTAGAATTCTGACTTTTTCCCCATATTAAACTGAAATAATCTTCAAAAATAATTTAACTTATTTTTTTTTTTATTTTGTCAGTGGCCCTAATCCTCTTCCGTACAGCTCTTATTCTCTTCCGTATTAAAACATTAACGGCCTTTTGTCCCAACAAGTGCTCAAAGTTCAAAATTACACAACTTCCCCCCTCATCCACGCTTTACCTACAAAAATAAAGAACCTATAATGAAACAACCTGGTTCTTTTTAATCGGCTACAGCTAAAAAAGAAACAACAAAAAAAGCTGATCAAAACATATCTTTCCAACATTCGTTCTGATCTGAACAAAGTTTACAGGTAACAGCTTTAAGGTGAGCGGGGGAGAGGAGGAAGGAGATAAAAGAGGGCTGGACAGAAACCAAAAAAAGACAGGAAATAATAAAAGAAGCTAAAGCTATTCAAATGTGTGAAAGGACGTGAATATTAATCACTAAAACACGTTTAGCAACATCAGCCAGAACAGGTGCAACAGGCGATACCGCTAGCATATTGCTACGTTTTTACGTTTACGAAATATTAGTAAAAAAATAAAAAACAGAATTGTAAAGTTGGAAAACATTGGCGCAATAAGATTAAAATGATGTAAAACAAGCGGCAAAGTTCCGCAAAATGTATCTCGCAAAGCCCCAACAGTCTAAACTTAGCTTTTCTAAATGACTGTTTGCTAGCTTTAGCATTAGCTTTAGCCAATCTCAGCTGCCTGGGAGCTCTCATGCGTTTTGTCTCCCCTCCTCAGAATCAATTAACAATACTACGGATTTCATTTTCATACCAGAGTCTCTCGTCATCCCAGACATGTCCTTGTGACGATCCCACACATTCTGTGTAGCTGATCAACGTACATTGTGTTTCAGACCTGCCCATGCTATGGCTGTGGTAACAGGAGGAGGAGGGGTTTAACATTTCCCTGCTAAAAAAAAAAAAGCAGCATACTGAACAAGCTGCAAAAAGTAAACTGTGGAGGGCTTTGCGTCAATTACAAATGAGGTATTCAGATTTGAATACTACAAGAAATCAAGAAAATAAAAAGCATAAAGTAGATGATTTGGCCACAAATGTTTTTTTTTCTGCACAGGTCTGCCTCTGAGTGTTTTTTTTTCAATTCGATTTTGTTTTGCATGTGGGTCAAGCGCTGCATGCAAACGCCCATGTATGCATATCTGCAATCAATCAAGCTCTGCACACAGATAGCTGCAAGCTTCTCTGTTTAAATAAAAAAATTAACATGCAACAGTGTCTAAATAAGGCATTTGATTATGTTTCACTGAAACCCTTTTCATGGGTCACCTGAACTGATGCACTAAAAATGAAACATTGTTAGCCCTAAATAAAAAGGTTCAAAACCCTATCTTATTGCAGACTCATTATCTCACGCAATACTTTAGATACTTTGAGTGGAGCATGTTTATTATATAACACATTTATAATATGATCAGAGTCTAGAACTAGTAGTTACTAAAAGATGTTTATCTGTTTTTGTAATGTGTAAATAGACGCACCTTTAGTTTAAAAACTGGCCACAAGGTCAACAGGGACCCGTATTTATCTCTTTCTCCATGCTCTCTGACCAGGATGGTCATGAGGGGGTAAAAATACCAATCTGTATCAAGGCAATGCTCGAAAAAGCTTTTTACACCCAACCAATACAAAAGTAAACATGCAAGACATTTTAAGTAAGTAGTTGTTTTATGCTATAAAGTTGCATTTTACATGCTAACATAATATTTAGCCAGCTGGATGTCGCATGGCTGCACATCCTCAAACTGGATATAAATAGCATTGTGGAAAATGATAAATATCACATAGCATTGGAAGAACAGAGAGGAAAGAAGAAAATAGGCTAATATTACAACTGAAACATTAAATGGCATTTAATGGGATAATAATAATAATAATGGAATTTCCAAATTTATCCATTCATAAGGCTTTCTTACAATGTGCTACCCTACTTTTAACTGGGACTGTATGCCAACTATATGTGAAGCTAAAATCTACAAATTGGACAAAAAGATAAAAGATAAAATAAAACAATTATTTACATAATCAGAAGCATTTTTTTTGTTTGTTTGTTTTAGCTCAAAGTATGAATAATCATACAATATTAAAAGACTCCAGGTTATGTTCAAGCTTTTTTTTTTAAACCAGGGCTGCCAATAAATGTGTCTCCCTTAGTGGTTGTTGCTTAATATGTCTGTGTCTCTTCACCTGCAACGTGACCATGTACAAAACCTCATGAAGGTCAAAGCAGCTTCATACAAAGGAAGTGGTATTTTTGATATCAACAGTTTCTATTATCCTAGCCTTCAAAGCACAATGCTGAAAGCCAAAGAAACAGAAACTTGTGTGTCATTCCTATCTGCATTTAAGCTAAGAGATGAGTCAGGAGTTTGAAGATTTTCACAACCTTCTGCTCTTAACAAATAGAATGGAGATGACAAACCCATTTCCTGGTGCTGGTTGACTTTATTGGAAAACTCCTCCAGGGGTGCAATGAATTGCTTCACAGATTCCTGGCTTTTGATAGCCTTCTTGTACTTGTTGATCCACTCAAACTTGGGAACCTGTGCGGGGGACCTGCAAACATCTAAGAAAAACAGGAGGTGGCAAAAGGATAAATATATATTAGAAAAAACAAAATGCTCCTTACATGCTGATATCTTTCCCAGGAAGGCATTTGCAGCCCTACTATGAGTGCAACAAACACAAAAGGGACATTCATGATATGCAATGACTCTCATGTATTGTTCATGTGATGCTTCCACTGTTAAAGTAGTGAGCTTATGCTGAATGTGACACATCCCTGCAAACAGAGAATCCCTTTCAAATAAAGGCCTGCCTAATTCCAACTTCATTGTTCATAGTATGTTTTTGTCACATAGCACATAGTATCTGTGCTATTTCCCTATCAAAAACATAGGATTCAATTATTTTTTTGCTACCTAAAATGTTTCAAAGCCTATAAAGTTTTTTGTTTTTTTTAAATGCAGACAATTGTGTAATCGTAGTTTGACCTACCGCTCCACGCCTTGTTGACTTCACAGAGGAAGAGGCGCGATTGGGACCCAAAAGGAAGCGTGAGCTCTAGCTCTTCATCCTTGTAGCTCATTCTCACTCTGGTGTCGGCGCCTACAATCAGATACAGAGGACAGCAGAGAGAAGAATATTGCAAAATGTCTTCCATGCTAGATCTGTCGTGTCTGATATGTCTGAGGTTTCAAATAAACTAGGGCAACTCACCCACAACCACAAGCTGTTCGGCTGAAGAAACTATGAAGGAAGCAGCATAAGAGATATGTCAGGGTGCTTAAAGGACGTAAATGTGCCGTCTTTGCTTTACAGCTTTAAAACCTCCGATAAAACCATTAAAAGTACAAGTAAGATACATTTTGTTTAGCAGAAGTATCCTAAACCTCTTGAAATTTTAGACATACTAGGTCCCTTAGAGAGGGAAAGAAAACAATGAACAAAATAACAACAAAAAAAGAACATCATACTAGCCACAAAAAGAGCAAGCATCCCATAGACACCCAGTCAATACATGTAAATATGAACCAAAACATTTGATAATTATACAATGTCTTTCATAGCTATATACCTTTAGTTGCAGCATAATATTAGAGTGTTAGTGTTTATCTGTGGACACCCTTACCCAAATGCTTGTGGTATATTTGCATAGTATGTTCGTGTATAATGGGTTTACAAGGCTGCTTCTGAATGAGAATATGCTCAATAGCAGGTGTGAGTGGACCCAGACCGGCCCCGCAGAGCCCAGGACCGACATAAAGGCATCCAGAGCCCCATATACCTAGTATAATATTCCTAAAAAAGTCTGGTGCAGCCAATATTTTAAGAGAGGTAACCTTTATACATAGAGAACATCTATGTCTACATTGTTATATGCAAACAGATTTAATAGATCAGGAATGAAGTTGACACTACATCTATTCTAATGTAGGCGTGGGATATAAAACCACGTTCCAAGTTTCCAAACTCTCACTGAGTGATGTTTAAGCAACCGCCTTGACAATGATGGCCGACAGGGCAGGAAGAGCATTGAACAGAGAGGAAATCAAGATGTCTATGATGACCTTGCCAGGCAAAGGTTAACCAGACTGAACCACCATTGACTCCAGCCAGATATCTGGACCAATCAAAGTGCAGGACGTGGAATGCATCACTCTCTGCACCTTTCTACTTTTCCGTTGATGGTACCCACAATGAAGCAATGATTTAATGATGCCCGTTTGATGTGCTAAGGGAGATTAATCTAACTTTAAAACCTCGACAACAGAGCTTTAGTGTCAAGTTCTTCTTAAAAAGGATGTATTTTCTATTATTGCCATGACATGTTTCATGGACAACAAAATTATAAAAATAGAGTGGGTTGCTTGGAGTTTTCTATCCAGATCCGTAGTTATCCAAGTGCTTCTAACCTGATGACACTGACACCCTGTTAGTCCTGCCTTTGAAATCCAGCTCTTTACTGGCCAGGCTATGGTGGAGCTTCAAAGATCATCATCTCAGGTGGGAAAATCCCCTGATTGTCACCGGGTATCCATTAGTGATGCACTTTATAGAACAGTGGCAAGAAGAAGCCATAAAGAGGAGAAAGCAAACAGGTGGGAGAAGGTGTGTTTTTCACATGACCAAATCTGAATCCTTTTGAATATATGCAAAATCCTTTGGGGAAAGAAACGAAATGCACATCAATTCGAATGCTGTTAGGATGCTTTTCCTCAAGAGGGGCAGGCAGGTTGATGTAAAAATACAGGGCAACCCATATAAAAAAAAAAAAAAGTTAGAGGCTGCAAGACACTTAACACTAGGGTGGAAGTTCACCTCTCAGCTACACAGCAACCCTTGGCTCTACAAATTCACAAATGTTCAGTAACTTACACCTGGAATTATAGCTGGGGGAAAAAACAAAGGGTATAAATGCACTACTGCATATTATATAAATATATACCGGTATACAAATAGTTTTTATAACTATTTTGTGTATAAGGAATTTACCTTCAACAACAGCAAAGTCCAGGGAGATGGGTACAATGTCTTCAAGTGACACATCGTCAGCTGTTATGGCCATTCTACGATGGCTGTAAATGAAGATGCTGCAAAACATTTTTTAAGATATTTAGAAGAAAAAAACTGTGCATTTTTGTGCTGGATTCTGGCAAAACGACCCCTTTCATTTGTTCACTGAACAATACAACAAAAAGCCCAGTTTATTTTTTTTAAACTTACGCATGCTCTTTGGAGCACTCTACCAGTCCCAGCAATCTGCTTTCTGAAAAATCTTCAAGCAGGATTTCACATTGTGCAGCATGATCAAGTTTAGTTAAGGAAACTATTTTTTTAGTTTTACTATGTTTATAAAAAAAAAACATTCTGGCAGGAAAGAAAAATTTATATTTAAACATTTGAAATCTGCATGTTAAGAGCAACATCCTTAATTTAAATCTAATTGTGTCAATTGCTTCATGTCTACCAGCTCCTTCTCACTACTCCCAACAACAACAGTAGGAGCTAATGATGCAAAGATGCCATCTTGTGGATGACATGTGTAACTACAGGCCTGTGCTATTTTGGGGAATCTGTTTTGAGCTGACCAAACCCGTTTTTCTTCTGCAAACTGTGCGAACTACTGAAACTGACCCCTTTTCGAAGTCGCAAACCAACTGACTAAAATACAATATAATTTCACCAGAGACAAATCCAAATCCTACAGGCCTCAGCCTCGGTCGTGTCACCGCAATCTGTCGGTCCAGTTAGTGAGTTTAAAGCACGCGATCCTTGTATTGAATAGAAGCCACGCGCCGTTCAAAGGATACTACAATGCAGTTTTCTTCTTTCGCCAAAGTTTCCTGAATTGCGATGGACTGGTCCATGGTGAAGAACCGGCAGAACTTCGGTAGCACGTTTTTTTTTTTTTTTCCTCCACCGAGAATCTGCGGAGGAGTAACAGCTCCCAGTGACCCGGTTATTCCTCCTTTCTGAGCAGCTTGCAGAAAGAGACACGGCCCAGCAGCTCAGCGCGGACAGACATCTTAAACTTCTTTATGGTCCAGATGTTTTCCTCTGCTGGTTCAGCCCGAAACCCTGAGGGCGCGCGCCCACAGACTGCCACGCACTCGTCAGGATCAGCCTTGACGTCACATCTAGGCTGTCATCAGCACAATCGGAGAGAGAGGAAGGGTTTAGGCTCAGACTGGTTTGGATTAACCTTCAAGTCAGGCAGTGAATCCAATGGAAAGAAAACTCTCCATAACTAGGGGCGGAGCTAGATGGGGGCCAGGGTTGACCATGGCCGCCCTTGGTCAATCACCCCTACCATTTTTTCCCCCCTGACACAGATGGTGGCAACAGTAATAATCTCAAGTGGAGTATTTAAAACAATTACATTTTTTTTTTTCATATAATAACAATTACTTGAGAACAAACCACTGTGGTTAATTCTGCACATCAATACACTAACATTATAGATGATAAGTGCAGAGTTTATGCTTTTTTTTTCAAAATTAGATTTTAAATTATGTCTCTGCAAGTCATCTAAGAGTCTTCAGTCTAATTATTGATAAATAGCTATTTTTTATAAAAATGTATTAAATAATCAATTTATGTAGATATTAGTACTTGTAAATATACATTTTATGCAGAATGATTATTGAGTAAGTAATGACGATGGAAAAGATGTTGGCCCAAAACTCAAACCTCAAAGAATTGTATCCATCCATCCATTTTCTAACACGCTTACTCTCAAGTGGGGTCGCGGGGGTTGCTGGTGCCTATCTCCAGCTGTCAATGGGTGAGAGGTGGGGTACACCCTGGACAGGTCGTCAGTCCATTGGAGGGCAACACAGAGAGAAAACAGGACAAACAACCATTCACACACACACTCACACCTAAGGAGAATTTAGAGAAGCCAATTAACCTAACAGTCAAGTTTTTGGACTGTGGGAGGAAGCTGGAGTACCCGGAGAGAACTCAGAAATGCTCAGGGAGAACATGCAAACTCAGAATTGTATCCACTATATCTTTTATCTAGAAAGCAAACATGTTTAAATATTTATGTGTCTATTTGTAAGCAAAGGTTGTAGAAAAGTATAGTTAGTCTTTATTTAGAAAATATAGATGTTGTGCCCATTAACTTTCCTGCTGTAGATTGACCCTGAGGTTCTAGTGCCTATCAATTTGTTGTTGCCTGGCCTCCCTTATATAAAATTTCTGGCTTCGCCTCTGTCCATAACTCAAACAAAACAGTTTTAGTTGTGATGTGGAACTGAAGAAATGTTCATGTGGAAAATCTGATTTCAACATGTAGGGGAAGGACATTGAAAAATAGAACATTCGTAACTGTTGCTCTCTAATTAAGGAACTAACTCACCCAACAGGATATTTGCGACTTTTGCTACTACTACTACTAACAATGATAATAACTATATTAATATTTATTAACTATTATTATATTTTATTAGTTTTTTACTGACATTGGCTCTTAAAATTATTAAGAATATCCAAAATGTGTTTGTTTAGTACTGTATTCTTTAAAAAGGAAAGCTCATGTATATATGGGTTTATTACACAGAAATATATATTTTACACTTTTTAAATTCTTATGATTGTGACTTAAGTCCTGTTTACTGATTGTATATACATAATATTCTGCAATGTGAGATCAATGAAGTTCAATTATATATAAAAAAACAGTTCTGTGGGAGTTAGTTCGAAACCCACTCCCACAGACTGCCACTCTGTGTCTCTGAGCAAGACGCTTAACCCCTGATTGCTCCCCAGGCACTCCATGATGGCAGCCCACTGCTCCCCAAGGGGATGGGTTAAATGCAGAAGTAAATTTCTCAAATGTGAAATCAATAAAGTTCAAGTATTTTTTTAATTATTATTTTATTTAATATTGTTATGCTAACACCCTCTATATACAGAGTAAATTACAAATAGTAATTGCAAGGACTGTACTGTACTTCAGTTAAGTTCGTAGATTTTGAGATACATCAACAACAAACCATTTTTTCTTCTTTAAAATATCAGTTTGATGCCAAGCATCTATCAAATTGTCAGATGTTTTTGAAAATGTATACATAGTATATTTTGCATAATTCAGTATTTTCCTAAATATTTATTTTTACATTTGAGACTATAAAAAAATATAAACTATTTTCCTACTATATTTGAGGAAAATAGTTTACAGGGGACCTTTCCAAGGTGTACCTTTTGTCCATAGACTGATGACGATGGATGGATGGATGGATGGATGGATGGATGGATGGATGGATGGATAATATACTTCTACACTGTTTACATTCTGATCACTGCTGCATTTTACAAATTGAAATGTTAATTTCACTATTCTAAGATGCTCATGCACTGTTGTAAACATCAACTTTTGGTTTTGTATACACTCTGTGTGTATATAATGACACTAAAGCTTGCCTAAGTTTAAGTCTAGGTAAGCCAACCGTTCAGAAGTTAAAGAATGTATCAAAAATTTCTCAATTCTAAAATTGCTCTTATATAAGGCGTACATTTTATGAAATTCTCAGGTCTCAGATTTTGTATAAAAAGTTATAAAGGCCTAAAGAAAAAAACTGTGTAGGTCTTAGGGATAACAGTGGAGTATTTTTTTTCAGTCCTTGAAGTATTGACCATCCAAGCAGATATTTGAGCTTAATGAAACATATGCAGGTCCAGCATATGTTTCATTAAGTCCGAAACAGCTTCTTCTCCACCGCCATTGTACCGCTGAACTGTTGAGAAAACTCTAAATCATGTGACATTCTGCATCACGCTGACAACACCAAATCTAAACAATGTATTTTTGGCACCATATATATTCAATGCTCTGAACTCCCTCTGAACTTTTTTTTCCATCGTTTTTTTCTCCCACATTGTTTACATTTGACCACTGCTGCTCTTTAAGAAATGGAAATGTCATGAGAGCTGTACAAAATGAAATTTCGTTTTGTTTACACTCAGTGTATACAAAATGACAATGAAAGTTGTCTAAGTCTAATTCATATATCTCCCCTGAAAACATCCAACATCCCTATATTTTACATGATTCATTGTGGGTCAAAGAGGTCAGCAGTTATGACAAATGTTGTGATTAATCATTTATAATTATACCTTTTATGATCCAAAATAAACTTTGAAGATCTTTTCAGGGATAATATAGCTTACATGATTTGGAGAGTCCAGCTATCATACTTGAGTAAGAATACTAATACTGAGTGTGACTGCTTCACTAACTGTTCAGGTAAGTAGCAAGTTGTGAGGAAGCAATAGTCTTTATGAATGTGTATATTGAGATACAGTAAGGTATTTCATTAAGTTTTGTAAAAATGAGCATGTTTTTTTGTTAATAATTAAAAATGTTTTTTGTTTTTGTGCATAATCTAGCTATGTTTATTTTACTTAATTGTTTGATATCTGTTATGAGATTATGTTTTTTGGTTATTTAGTCGTGTTCCTTTGTTTATGGTTTGTTATGATTAATTTAAGTGAATTATTTTTTATAAATAGGTAGTCAATGGTAGGACCAGCATGCATCTGGGTGGGCTTATGGTTTTTGTTTTTGTTTTACCAGCGCAAAAGAAACACGGAGGAAAGTTTGTCTTTTTGTTTGCTTGCCTGAGGAAAAAAAAAAAAAAATGAGAAAACTAAAGGAGGTTACTTGGAACATTTTCTTTTGCCTGCGTAAAATTAGTCCATGGTGCATCTGTGGCCTTTGTGGATTTTAACTTTTTTGTGTCACCAAAGCTGGGCCACAACAGAGCATTATACCTCCCTGTAGTGGCAATCATTTACTAATAGATTAGTAAACATTTAGAAAATACGAAATATAATCAGCACAAAGCTCTCAAACATGTCAATAATATGGTCATAAAAATGTGAAGATTTAGACTTCTCACAGATAAAGATTAGATTTATTCAACTTAAAGCACAGTTTTTGCACTTCATATTGTATACAAAGCTATAATAAATGTACATTTCTGATTTCATTTAGAATTTACATATCACCCTTTGAAAATGAAATATTAACTTAGTAGACCCCACAGTACAGATGTTTAAGTCAGCATTCCAGAAAACTAAAATGCAAGTAGCTACATATTGAATTGCACACTTTAAGAAAGTTACATCTAAAAGAAAAAGAAAAAAATGCTGCAACCAGCCTTCACAACTTCCTGTAACAGCTTAACATTTGGAATTGTTTAAAGTGCAAATAAGGTTAAAGATTCATCATTTCAAAAAATTATTTTTATATGATAAATGATCTGTGCCGGAGCTGTTTTAGGCTCCGATTTCTCCCATTCACAGTTGATGTGAGGCAGTGCAAATGAATCAAGATCTTCTCTAAAATATTCATCATTTACTTACATTTTTGTTTAATATACACTTCATATTCATATAAATAATATTAAAACGTGAACGGATGTAAGGACTCAGTTGATGACTTTTTTTCTCTTGTTTAATGCTCTTTAATAAAATGTGATTTTAAAACCCTGTTGATCGTCTTTAAACAGAAATAATTGTGAAATGGAAAGGAGAGACCGAGCACAGCAATCAGCTGATGCTTTTCATAAGTTTGTACTTATATAATAACAGATTAACCCCCATCAAGATACATATACAGACACTGATGACTGCAGGTATGCTCCTTAACTCAGAGAAGCAGACTGAGAGCAAGCAGAGATAGCAAGGAAGTAATTAACTCTATGTGAAGATGGGGACCTCTAGTGGCGAAAGAAGGGACATTCAGCGTGCCGTTCAGCATCAGGCAGGAGGTTGTGGTGGCAGTGCAGCACTCCAGGTGACATGAGGTGGTTGAAGATCCCCTACAGGCAGTATGAACAGTGCAATTGCTGCACCCTGCTTCCCAAACAACATCGGAGCCAGAGTTCTTCTTTTTCAACTGAGGAAAGACAATTAAAAAGAAATTGAATTAAAACAAGGATATATTTGTTGTATATAAATATTTGTTTTATCAGATTTATTTGTAAATAATCTGTTAAGGTTGAAGTGCTGCATACTTTAAGTCTGGATACTCTGGCAATTTACAGTATGTAAGAATGCATTAATAACATTTATTTTCAACAAACAAAATAATAGTATATTAAACATATTACATAAATTGTAATCAGGCATAACATATTCAAATCAATTAGATGCAAGTTTCAAAATGGAATTTATACCCTTAGTCCTTTTTTTGTTTTATTAATTTTATATATGTGAAAACAGTGTAGACGACCCATACATACATCCACAGGCACATGCAACTATACACATACGATTACATAGTCTGTCCCTGCCCTCCTCTATAAATACGGTACTCAAAAGTATGTTTTTATACCTTTTTTCAAATATATTTAAGTTTAAGCATTATGCTTTATGTCTATAGTCTTTCAATTCCACAGGCACTCCACAGCTAGACACACACACATACTATATGCTGCATATCATTTTACTTACTATCATTTTACATATGAAAATGTCTTAAATGATCTTTTTCAGTTTAATTTTTTTATCTTGATTAATATTATCTTTGTAGTTTCATAGTTAACCATATTAAGAAATATCAAAGTATGAGAATATAAAATTAATACTTTTGTGTGATCTTTAAATCCTACTTTGTAAACTATTCTTATCGCTTTATTGTAATAGTGTAATATATAATATAATAATGTTTTACTTAAACGGCAGTGCAATTGAAGGCAGCACTTTCGTCAGTCATCACGTGACAATTTCTTAATAACTTCCTCCTTATCGGCAATCCAATTAAAGATGTATAACAGGTCTTATTTTATCAGCATATTTTATTGCTTAAGCATTGCAGCAACCATTAAAGTTAAAGTTTAATGCATTCACACAGTCAACTGAATGGCCAAAAAAACCCAGCTATCAAATAAAATAAAAAAAAAACCTTCATGCGTCATACCTCACAGTGTGGCTCCATGGAGGAACAGGTTTCAGGCATTCCATTTTTGAAAATTTGGTAACAATTTTCACCATTACACATACCCTTCTGACATTTGTTACCCTGAAAAAAAAAAAAAAAACAAAAACAAGAAAAAGAATGAAAATGCAAGAAAATTTAAGTCATGGAACCTTTTTTGAACTTCACCCCATAACACAGATAATAGCCTAACATATATAAATAATTAGGGACATAAAAAACAAAACAAAAAACGCTAAGGACATTTCCAAATGGAGGTCTTGGTCTTTACATTGTTTGCGGTTGTTGAGGTTGTTGTTGTCGGGGAGGCTGTTGTGGTGGTTGCAGGCACTGAAATCATGCAAGATAAGCATACACAATATAAGATGGTAACATCATATAATACATACAATATAACATGGTAACAGAACAGAAACAAAAATGCCTTACAATAAATACAAGTAAGATCATGTGAATTATGTGAATGCATCTTCTGTTTTTTACCTGTGGTTGTCATCATCATGGATGCAAAATTGCCACTAAGGCAGCCAGTGGAGTTACAGCAGTTCACAGCACAGGTGGTCTGAGTGGTGTTGCTGCAACTTTCAGCACAAGAAGCACTGCAGCTCACATTGTACCACATGTCCATTGATCTCAACAGCTGATCCAGTGAGAAATTATACAAATATGATTGTTTTTCATTATTTTTTCATTCTCTTTTTTTTAAATATTTTTTATTTATTATTTTTTTTTTTTTACAAAGAAGTATATAGAGCATCATTTGGTTCGTTACCTGACATGATTCTCCAGAAGCACAAGCAGAGGCATTCTGACTGTTGTACATGGAGTAGCAGTCGGAGTAGTTGCAGGAGAAGGAAGGGCAATATATCTGTGTTAGGATGCAACGAGGGGCACATGATTAGGATAAAAAAAAGGTACAAACAAAAACAGGTGACATTGTTATTTTTTTTAGAAGATTGACTTGCCATATCCATTGAAGAATTTGATGTGGAGTTTTTTGCAGTCATTCCGTCTAAAACAGAGAAATTATGTCATATTTGGGAAGACATTTGGAAACAATTGAAAAAGTAATATAGATGCAGATTCCTTATTTTCACGTACTATTAAAATTCCCCCCAAAATCACACAATTTTATCCTCTTTAACAAATCCTGAAGAGAATTGGCAGGAAATGTAATTTTTTTTTCTTCTAGTTTTTCCAGTTCCAGGAAGAAATACTTTCACCAGGGACCGGTGGCTGATAACCAACCAAGAGTTTGAAAAGCTTTTAGCTGTAGCAAACATTTGAGCTAATTCTGATTTATCTTTAAAAACTAAACTTTTAAACTTGTGGGGTCTATATGTCTTCCAATTAGTGGCTATTATGTATTTAATTTAAGAGCCAAGCTAAAGTCCCACCATGCATATGTGTTGACCAGTCACTAAAACTACTGCCATAGTTGCAGTTAGCATTACTAACCACACATATCAATTCTGAGTCTTGGGTAAAAGGCCACTAAATACTCCAGATTAACTAGACATTATCTTGATTTTTTTTCTTGACACTCTTTCCAGGCCATGTTTTGTCCACTGACATGCCCACACAATTGTTAGACAAAGGTTTGAAGTGGGTGTGGCCACTCACTGCAATGATACCTGCTTTAGGAGGTATCATTGAGACTGCAAAAGTGTAACAATGCATCCCTCTCATGAAAGCATAAACTTTATGCAAAAGAACAAGAAAACTTAAGATATTGATTATAATTTTGGGAAGACTCAGAGTCCAATATTTTTGTTTTCAACCTTTTCAGAGAAACGTTGTCATAGATTATAGTCAGTGTTGTAATGAATCTAGAATCAGTGCAGGAAACTTAATCCGAGTCTGTGTAGCTCATATTTTCTTCTGCCTAATACTAAAGTGGTTCTACTGCTAAGAAAAAAAAAAGCATTGAAAATTCCACCAAATATAATAAAAAGTTGATTAATGTCAAACTCTGTTTTAGCATCATCAGCAGCTAACAGTTAGTCACTCTGTTATATAGTTAGAATACCTTTTTATACTGTCCAAGAGGACATATAAAAAAATTAAAGGTTGTGAGGCTACTTAGTATATTATTTTTTTCATTAAATTCAACCACACTATCTGTTTGTATGCTGTTATTATTGCAACACTGAACAACAGCTGAGGACCATCTTTGCCTTACTTTTAAAAAATAATTTGGAACACCGATACAGACTGCCAAGCTTAACTCTCATACGATGTTTCATAATAAAACCTTAGACTGTTGCTCCAATGCTATGTTCTATGTGGTAAAATATTTAGGCCTTTTGGAATCTTATAAAGTGGGTTCACGGTGAGTTTCCTGCGCAAAGTCTTGCTCTATTTTGTAACAGCCTAGGCAAACAACTGACTGACAATCATATGACATACAG